GAGAGAGAGACTAAAAATGATTTAAGGCTGAACTTCTCTTCTGCATTACAGCAGCTTCTACGTCAGGTCTTACTCTTTAACTTAACATGTCTGCTCTGTGGTGGCTGTTGTTTTAAGAGGTGACTGTCACCATGCCAGAATGTGTCATTAATTAGAGGAGGTGCTCTTAGAGTCGGCAGTTTGCCAGCCAGCCTTGGGAGAGTGTCAGCCCTGCACTGTTTTTCCCAGGACTGTAATTCTGTGCAACCCTGGGTCATTTACACTCCGATGATTTCTGCCCTTGAACTGATCAATGGACTCTGTCACAGCCCTGAAACAAATCGATCAGCTTGCCACTTCAAATGATTGTGGCTTCTCAATGGCTGTAGCTTAAATCCCACTCAGTCTGTTGTATTACAACAGCCAGATGACAGTGATGAAGTGTAAGTGGCTGAATTCCTGTTAACCTGTTCCTCTTTCACTGAAGGTATCTGGCCCTGGTGGAGTCCCTGCCAACATATGGAGTCCATTATTATCCAGTGAAGGTAATGGCAGTGCCTTGTGTCATACAGTAGCTTAACATTAAAACAAGCTTACGTCTACATCTAGTCTAAACACATCAATCTAACCCCTATTCCTACTTTTTTTTCCTATGATGGTTGAAATGTGAGCTTTTTGATTCAGCTAAGACAGCAATCTATCCATTCAGCTTTTCTCACTTTCTTATTCATGCACAGTTTTATTTTTCCCTTACCAAACCTAATTAAATCAAGGTGTGTGAGGAGATCAAACAGCAGTGTTTAAGTTTTAAGAGCTTAAATGTATTTGATCTCTTCTTGAGTTGCAATTGTTGTGAGCCTAACAGGGTAATTACTTTGGTAACAGGCCTCTTTCTTTTTTTTTAGACACACCAATAAAGTTACCTCTAAGGAGTGAAAGTGTGGTTTATTTGCATGTGTGTGCTTTCCTGCAGGACAAGCAAGGAATACCGTGGTGGCTGGGAGTCAGCTATAAAGGCATTGGCCAGTACGATTGGCAGGATAAGCTGAAACCTCGACAGGTGGGTTGACCTCTCGTTATAGCTGCTGTATTTGCCACAGTTGCTCTTCTTTCTCTTGTCCTGTCTTTGGTGAAGGTATACTTGTACTGCATTCATCTGTTTGTCAGATGAATCTACTTTGCCAAATTGCATGAAACTTTATGGAGACACAGAGCCTGAACTAAAAAAGGGATATGTTAAAGTTTGGTTTGGATCTGCGTTCCTATTTATAATTTACTTGTTTTACTTGTTTGTTGCTTTTGTTTGGTTTGCAAAGTAACTCAGACTAGCTTAGGGTGTGGGCTTTATAAATAGACCTGATTTTCTTACAAGTGCCATTTAATACTTGATCAAGTCACTCATCGAATGTAAAGTTGAAAGCTCTTAAGTTTGTGGAAGTATGATGCATTGAGGGTCATTGAAAGGCTTTGTCTGATGACAACTCTGCTTCCACTCATGTGTTTCTTGCTGGCTGGTTAATGATCCATCCAGACTGTAAATAGGTGTAATTAAGACTCTGGTTCCCATGCCAGTCAGGAGAAAGAGGAACACAGATAGGAGGGGGGGAAATATTTTGGAGTGTCAGTATGTGCGTAGTGCTTTCAAGGCTGCAGGAGTAAATACAGTATGGACCAGTATAAGCAGGGGTGGAATGCAGAGTGGTATGGATTATAAAATCTGCTTGCTAAGTTTAAGTGGTAAAATACACAAAGACCTACACTTTGAAAAAATAGTGTCATAGTCCTTTTTTGATTAATTCTAAAAATATATCACCAGGCCAGTGTGTTAAATAAAAATAACAGCTCTTGCAAAGCTGTTTTTTTTCTATAATTTGTAGCTTACTCCAGTTATATAAGATTAGTGGCTTTAAAATTATACTTATAACTTGTACTGAATTTGTAGTGGTGTGTGTCTTAAAACATCACTCTGGTAATAATGTAGTTTGTATAGTATCCATTGCAGTTTAAAGATTCCCTGCTTATAGGGCAAACGTTCTTAATGTGTAGCTGTGTCCGTGATTGTTGTCTCCTTTGTCTGGGAGGTGTCATTTAATAATGTTCTACCCAGGCATTTTCACTGGCCTCTTTCTTTAGTCTCATCATAGCTGCTTTTATACAGTATGAACCTGTTGACATAGCAGGGTGTGCAGTACTGAGGCAAGGCATTAATGGGCAGACGCACAGCGTGGCTCTCCCAGCAGTCCTATAGGAGGGGTAATTATGGTGCTCCAGGGAAGCAGCAAAGCTTTGGGACCAGAGTTTTCTCCTCGATAGCCAAGTAGATAGGTAGAATTTGTATTTTGGGACGTTGGAAATGTTCGTCCAAAGCAAGACTGCCTTTTTGCCTTTTCTAAGTCTTCTACTCAGGGCAGGAGCATAAAAACTTCATAAGAGTTTCCTGTTGGGGGGGGCAGAATGTGGCTTTTTTTTTTTTCTTAATAACTCTTTTTGTTGTTCTTGCTGGTAATTAGAAGCCTCTGTTTCCATCATTTTCCTTTACCTTGAAGGGAGGTCTCTATATCCGGGTAGTATTCTTGTCTTAGTTCATAGCCCTTGTATTCCACCCATCCCATCCCTCCTTGCCTCCTGCCCATCCCCTCTCAGCATGCTACATTCATTATGGTAATTGTGTGTGTGTGTGTGTGTGTGTGTGTGTGTGTCTCAGAGGGAACACAATTGATCAAACAAAACAAAACAGTTATCTGTGGATGTGGGTGAGGTGCTGGATTTTAGTATTAAGGGGAGGTCGGTTGACCATCACGGCAGTTTTAAATGTAATTTTCAATTCTGTGTGAACATTTTCCCTTCTCAACAATGTTGCTTTGAACAGTTTTTCATTAAATAGATAACAGGAAATTAGTACTTGCTGCCATTGTTGTAGTGCTGATTTAAAGAGGACAAAACATTTGCTCAGTGCTGCTTTTTTATTTTTTGATTGTATAAGTCTAGTAAAACTAAAAAGCAGCTATGATAGCTTAACCCAATATTATCTTCTTTCCACACACCCCACTTTGATCACTTTTAACTGAATACCCTGAAACTGGAAAGGCCCCTTTCCCTGCTGTGCTTTAGAAAAGTGACATATTTAGTAAAGTGAATACTCTCCCGCTTCCATTATGCATACATAATGGAACTGTATATAAGCATGTAGATAACACCCACTGATTATCTATCCCAAAGATCTGAATGTGGAATGGGAGGAAAAAGATGCAGAATTGTAATTAGGAAGCCTGTGATGCTTTAATATGAAGGAGCAAAACTGGAGTGCCACAACTGTTTCTGGGACTCAGGCAGATGGCAAGTCGACATTTAATTTCTTCTTAAATTAAACCAGGAGTCAGTCTCCCTCTCTCTCTCTCTGCGTCACTTGGGCTCTCTCCCTTCATGTAATGGGACCTCATGCTGGTCCACACGTACGATGAGCCAGCAGAACCAAAACCAGTCTTCAGGTCATTACGAGACAGTGTCAGCTGGGGGTATAAAAGTGTTCTCACTCTCTGTTCAAGAAAAATAAAAACTGAACAAACTTCTTTTCTATGGTGTGTTTTTGTTTTTTTCCTATTTTCACTCAACTCACCTCACTCCTGTTATGAAATAAAACAGGATGTTTTTTGTTCCAGGAGCTACATTTTTATCAGTTTATCACCACTTCGAGCTGTGTGTCATGTTGTGTCATGCCATGGAAATGTACAGTGTTCAAGTAGAACCCTGGTATGTGACGTACTCTGTGATGGGTGTGGCAGATCTTTTTCTGTATTGGCATGTGAGTCAGGGCTCCTTTTTAAAATCCATGTATGATTTTTGAGGACTTGTGGCCCTGGGGGTCCTTGGGCTTGTGGGTGTGTCTCCATGAGAACAGCCTGATCCCATCTGAAACCACAGGAATTTCTGGCACACTTCCACCTGCCTGTAATGACACATTTGGCAAAAACAAGGAAGATGACAGAAAATGAAGACAGAAAATTTTTGTGTGCTGTTAATTCCGGTTAGTTTTCTGGTTTTAGCAAACTGATTCTGCTTTCTCTAAATGTGATCTGGGTGATTTCATGGACTGTTTCCTCTTTGAGAGGTCTCGTGATTGCCGAGTTTGAGGTGTGTCACATCTCTAACATTTTTTCGAGCAGTGGTTCTACCAGAAGCCGCCTTAGAGTTTTATTATGCGCTGGCACACAGGTGTGAAGTTTCTCTAGCAGAATGAGTGAGCCAACACAAGTATCAGTTGTTACTGTGTGATTGATGTTAAATGGTGGTGACTAGACAGTGGTAATTTTCGTGAGGACCTCCACAAGAAAATTAGGTCTTTAAATGTGTCTACCAGCTGCTAGGAGTGCAGTATTTAGTGGAATGATCTGTCATGCTGGAATACCCTGTTTGAACTAAGCATTTATGTACAGTTTCAGTATTGTAGGCTCAGGTTGTAGGGTAATTTGGGCCATGCTGTGTGCTCGCTTGCTCTCGCAATGGCAAAGAAAGCCACTGCTATTAATGATTATCCCAAAGTTACTTATTGCCAGCATGTTTTCTTGGTGGGGGAGATGGTTGTAGTGGATTATTATACATGGCAGTGCTCTGTCTTCTGTTTACAGTAAGGGCGGCAGAACACTTCCCACATTTAGTGTGGGGCATTTAAATGTCTGTGAGTGACAGTAAGCAGAGCAAAGGTGAAATATCTGGTTCATCAAATAGTTGTGTACAACCTGCTTATCTGGTTTGACCAAAAAGGAAGAGAGCTGCATAGAAGAGAAGGGGGGGAAGGAAGAGTGCAGAGCAGTACTAAGCACTGGAGGCTGCAGGAGGTGTCCCTGCAATCGTAGGAGGAGAGAGAGGTGGAGGAGGGGTTGGGGTTAAGGAGGGGGGTGGGGTGGAGGGCGTGGCTATCTCAACCAAAACTCTTGCAACACCTATCTGGCTTCACAACAGACAAGAGAGAGTATTGTTCGAAGAAGCTCAAGCCCTGTGGGAAAGTCAAAGGATTCAATACAAGTCCAGAGAATTCCTCAGAGCTTTGATGAGCACAGATACAACGTTCACGGTAAGCCATGTTGTGGTGTCCACTAGTTACCTGTCAGGCTGATTTAAATAATCTTTAAGTTGGCATGTTTTAGTATCTTTGTGCTCTTCTCTAGATTGTTAGTGTGCTGTGCTTTCTGTAATGTGTAAAGCATTGTGTCTGTCACTGCTGTGATGTGCTGTACTTGTTTTACTGAGAATAAACTCTGAAAATGGAACTGGATACTGGATTCTTAGCCCAAAAAGCATGTGTATATGTTGGTATCAGGTAAAGCAGTTTCTATGAACACTGGCAGCCCCATTGTTTTGGTCTTATTATTATGTTTTTTCCTGTACGTGAGCAGAGAAGAGTTCTTGAAAGGCAACAAAAACTTTAAATCTGTTTGAGTTGTTTCCGTATCGGTAGAACAGACGTTTCTTTTGACACAGAGAAGTCGTGTCTGTTCTCTTCAACAGAGAGAAATGAAAAGCTGGCTTGCTGCCTGGCACAGTTTTGTTCCTGCAGTTGCAGCAGCTTCATAATTACTCTTTTGTTAGCCTGAACTTACACCTGACTGGCTGGCCCACTGAGTCCCATTCATGACTTGAGCAGTTATTTTGTATACGTTATAAACCGTGTTCACAGGCAGGCTGCTGTGGCTGAATCTAAGCCAGTTTTCTAGATACCCACCTCTCTGCTTAGTATCTTTTGGTGGTATTGATTCCTCTTTTTTGTTCATGTAATGTAAATCCATATTTCTATAGTGTTGTGTTGGCTGATGTGTGCTCAGTGATGTGTAATCTATCTCTGTCTGTCCCTTCCCCTCCTTTCCGCCGAACCCTCTCTGTGTCTCTGCAGTTGTTTCAGTGGAAGCAGTTGGAGAATTTGTATTTCCGTGAGAAGAAGTTTTCAGTGGAAGTGAACGACCCGCACAGGTCAGAAGACAAACCCACTTACTTTATCTTCACTTAACCTAATAGCTGCTTTTCTTGTATTCTGAAGTGTTCCCATTTTAGCAACTGCTCTTGCTTCCTTATCCTACACCTTACACACTGTGAAGGTCATCTGCAGCCACTGGCCCATTTAGGACACCTTGTTAAAGCCTTTTAACATGTCTGTTAAATGAGTCTTTTCCTGCTGCTCAGTGGCTGTTTATTATTCTAAGGTTGTTATAAGCCCTCTGCCCTTAACACAAGCTTTAATGTGCCACTTCCAGCAGTTAAAGCCATTATTAAACCTAACAGACAGCTTCAGATTTAAAATTATTCCTCATATCTACTTAGTATATTATTACACAGAGATCTAGAAGTTTTAATTATTAGTTTTAATTAGATTTAATAATATTTTTGTTCTCCTTGTGCTGTCTAGTTATTTCTAATTTCCTTTGATTTGTTATATAGCTGTTATGTATGTAACGGGTTCTGTAGTTGGATAACAAACACTGTTGCTGAACTACGTGAAATGCTTCGTTGACACTTGAGCCCTTACTTCCTTTATGTACCCATATAAATGTGTTATCCATGTTATCGCTCTGTAATCAGGTTAACTAGCTAGCAGCTAGTTTGGCACGCCCTTAAGCATAGAATGACTGCCTCGCATTCTCCATTTTCGCCAACTTGCTAGAGCTGTGTCCACTAGGTCTGACTTTAAAGTGTTTCATCCACAAACAAGCATGTTCTTTTGCTGCCAGTAAGAGCTGACTTTTAGGAGTTTCTAATGCTCTCTGAGAAACTGAGCACCCGGTGGATTAGTTTTTGATGACAGTGTCCTCACAAGAATAGGAGAGTCTGTAGTTGCACTATGCTGCGAGCTAATGTGGCTGACGTAAGCATTTGATCATTTGCCCACAGGCCAGAGCTAAGTGAGCACCGTAATACTGAGGGACAATCAAAAATGACTTAAAGATTGATTTGAAAACAATAAATAAGAATTGGCTGTGGGTTACTGTTTTTTCTCTTTGTGCTATAGTGGAAGCTAAACTTGGCTGGATTTTTTTTTTTGTTGTAATATATATTTGTAATATAAATACATGAAAAACAAGTTGATTAAAACCTTGTGCTTTATGGGATGATGTGACGAGTAGTCTTTTCTGGATACGTACCAGATTCATACTGTTGATACCAGCCAACAGATCTTAGACCAGCATTAGTTTGGCTTATATTTCCTGGGACTATTTGGGGAACACTGGGCTTTAGGTACACACCCAAAATAAAATGAGGAATCTTTAAATGAACATATTATAGGCACTCGAATTTAAGCAATTAAACAGATTGTATCTGCAATACAGCAAGTATTGGATGTCTATCTTATCTTCTACAGAAGAGCAGTGACCAAGCGAACCTTTGGACAGTCTGGCCTGGTTATTCACACGTGGTATGCCAGCCATTCACTAATTAAAACCATCTGGGTGATGGCCATCAGTCAGCACCAGTTCTACCTGGACATGAAGCAAAGCAAAGTGAGTGTCTGCCTGTTTTTTCTCCTCCATGATTCACTTTGCTTTGTTCACACTGTCTGCCAGTTTTTCTATTGTGAAACACAAAGAAACAGTCTACACCAGTTTACACCAGTAATTTACACTGTTTGATGTGTTTAGAGAATATGCATGGTGGTTTCTCGGAGTAGAGTCAATCATAAGATTGAAGAGACCATAACGGACTTTTTCCTTGTTTTTAGTTTTTAAATTTTGAATGCTAAATCTTCTTGTTATTTGCATGTTTTTAGTTTGTCTTGTGGTGTTGACCTATTTTCAGTAGGCTGTAAAAGGAGTAACCTCTAGATGGATTGCAACAAAGAAAAGCTTGCAGTCTTTTTCAGTTTGAACAGTGACCGAATGATGTTTAAAGGGTTTGTTGTGTCACAGCCTTTTACAACAATGACTGTTCTTCATGTGATACACTGCCTGATCCGTGTCCCTTACTCGTGACTAGTGTAAATATCTTGACTCAGAGTTTATCGAGGGCTTCCAGTTTTAAAGTAAACAGATTCCATGCCATTGAGTTTTATGTTGAAAGGTTGTTAGGTCTTAAGTTTAAAAGCTGTTATAATTCATGTAACCAGACCCTCTCTAATTCACTTTTGCAAAATGAAACTGAAAGTGCACAAAGTGCTTGAAATTGCACCCCAGGAAATACTTTTATGATGTTGTGGATGTAGTATTCATTATAGAATTGTAGTATTTTACGTATTTTTGTTTTATTTGTAGCTTAAGGTAAAGCTACATGTGCACAAAGAAAGCATTTAGTTTGGAAAGCACAGAAAAGTAAAATACACTGTGAATTAAAAGCAAAGATCCTGGAACAAGTGTTCAACTCTTCCTGAAACGCACACTGGGCTTGAGCACTGAGGCAGGTGTTATGTGTGTTATGTGCATTTCATAGTTAAGATGGTTGAGTGTGTGCTGTTGCAGTTATATGAAGTTATTCAGGCTATGTCTTGGAGGCGCATGGCATGTCAGGTTTGATGCCATGCACAGGAAGTCAACACTGATGATAAATATTTAGCATGCCACTGCAGCCGCCACGATGCACCGTGCTATCAATAAAATTAAATACTATCGCCTTCCCTTTTCTCCTCCTAATCTTCTCTTTCCTCACTTACAGTCAAAGATGACCACTACCAGGAGTTCAGGAGACATCGCAGTAGACCTCACTGAGATCTCTGCCCCCCGGATCACTAAACTTTCCAGTATTGAGAGCAAAAATCACCTAATAATGGCCAGCAATGGAAGCCTCATCTCAACTGGTAAGCAGACAGATAATCAAATAATGACTTCTATTCTACATCAGATTGATAGGTGATAATGTATTAATTTTTTATTTTGTCCCTGTTCCAGGTTCTGCTGACTCTGAAGTCAGCGAGGAACAGAAGAAAGAGAAGATCGCTGAATTGAAAAAGAAGGAAAAGGAACTTCAAGACAAACTGTCAGCGAAACTTGAAGAACTGAAAAAGATCTGCTTAAGAGAAGCTGTGAGTGTCTGTCTTTACTGGATTTGTTTCCGAAAGTGTCGAATTCTCAGCTGACTTCTGGCTGCTATTCTCATTTGCAGGAGCTTACAGGAAGATTGCCTAAGGAATATCCCCTGGCCACAGGTGAGAAGGTTCCTCACGTGCGACGGCGTGTTGGGACAGCCTTCAAACTGGATGATCTTTTCCCCTATGATGAGGTGAATGCAGATATTTGTTTGTGCTGTGGTTTTGCTGTGTGAGGCTGCTGTGACACTTGAAACACTATTAGTGCCCCACTGTTGTTGTTTAGCTACGGCTCATTTAGATCAGCTGACTTTTTAAAGTGAGGCTTTTGGAGTTCAGTTCTGTTTTTGAGGCCTACACTGTGAGACTCTTATGGGGAGCTGTACCTAGTTTCTGTCTTTAACTCAAGATGAGTATATAAAATGACTCTAAAAGACTGATGTCTTTGTGTTTTTAGCTTTGAGTGCTTTATGTCTGTTTCTTTGTTCATATGGGTGCCTCTGCTCCAACAAGATCTGTGTGTTTTTTGGAAAGTCCCCATTAACTGTGTCAGTCTTGTGTTTTCCTACAGGATCCACATCTGAGGAATCTGGAGAGTCGGTTTGCCTTGCAGCAAAAGATTGTGGAAGCAGCCATGAAGCTAGCCAATGAGGCTGACCTGTGCAAGACTGTGAAAAGGAAAAGGAAGCACAACTATCTTGACGCTATGAGAAACCTGGAAGAGATTGAGAAGCAGATCAACGACTACAGGGTCAAAAAAGGACAGAAACCCACTCAGAGAGCCTCACTGATCTTACGAGGTAGATTTCACGAACAGTGGCAGTGACACATACTTGCATATCAGAGCTTGTAGAACATTAGTCATAGTGAGACAAGACTGTGGATAATAATATCAGAGACATTTCTTAGAACACTTGTCTCTCTCTGTCCTCTGACCAGATGATCCCCAGCCTTCAGAACTCAGCTCGCTATCTGACAGCCTCACTCTGGATGATGGTTAGTGTGCTCAGTGTGCATGTGCTTCCTAAATCCCATCTCATTTATGAATGAGTTATACTTAAAACAATGACTTTTCACTCCCAGATGATGAGCTTGGCTCCCAGAGGCAGCGGTCTCGTTCAGTCCAATACTCCCCCAGACCACACCACGCAGACACTCTGGATGCTCATTACAATAAAGACAGACGAGCCTCTGCCAATGACCAGCTCGCAGACAGCAGGTATGCGACCAGCACCCACACTCATGGAGCATACTTTATTAGTGTCCTAACACTGTGACTGAAGAGGAGACTGAATGTGAGCAACTACACAACTCTGTTCAGACACAGTATACAGGCAGAGCTCAACACACAGGCAGTTGGAAGTATGCGTGTAAAATGCTAGAAAATAAAAACAAAGATGCATGTAGGCAAGTTGAGAGAACCACTGGATTGATGGGTATGATGACTGATGACAGGGAAACATGGCTGAACTGTTTTTCTGTGGAGATATGCAATGCCTGTTGTTTCTCCAGGGGCCTGAAGCGTGAAGCTAGTACAGACCTGTAGAGTAGATCCAGAGCTACATTCCTGACAGTCAACCTCCTCCCTCCTTCTCCTGCCTCTCCAACAGTCTGCTTATCAGCCCAAACACACCGGCTTTAAAAATAGATGAAAAAACAACATGTCTCTGCCTGTAAAGGAGCAAACAACAATCCCAAGCTGAGAGGAAAAGGGAAACAGAAGGCGGTGCTGGAAATGTTGTTTAAACACCAGCTACTGCGTTAGTGTTTAGAGTGGTGCGGGTGATGTTTTACTCTCAGGTTCATTTAAAAGAAGGGTGGTAAAAGTCATAATGCTTGCTGCTGCATGAAAAGATTAATGGTCTATGCAGTGGAACTCATTCAGGTGTAAGGAATGACTAAAGTGCCGCAGTCGAGCAAACCCTGTTTTGTTTTTTCCTTTTTTTTTCTTCCTTTCCTAGATTTACTGTCAAGAAGATAGTGGTGTTAATCATCTGAACATATTTCCTATCTGTGTTCTAGATTACATTATGACCAAGACCAGGAAGCGCACCATTACAGTCACAATGACACCTTATCGGTCTACAGCAGCCCATGTAAAGCAGCTTCCAGGCAGCCACGTGATGCACGCAGCATGCCACCCACTCCCCTCCTCACCCGCAACGCATACAGCAGCACACAGCTGAGGTATGAGCGTTATGTAGTTCTTTCATTATTTTGAAGACCCGCTTCATAAACGGCTCTTATGCATTACATTCACTAAACTTTAATTTTAATTGCAGATCAGAGGATTCTCCACAACACTTCCGCCAGCGTAGCGGGAGTCTGGAGTCACAGTCTCAGCTCATGATCGAGACCAAACCATCCATGCCAACACTGACTGTCCCGTCAGCTCGACGCAGCAACAGCACCGAGATGCTCGATGACGGTTCCTCCTACACAAGCCAGTCTAGTGTGGAATACAGCGTCCCTGGTAACCACCACACCCACGGGCGCAGAGTGCGCGGGCGCCACAGAAAAGACATGTACGCCAACACGGGCAGCATGCCCAACCTGGCTCAGCCAGACACTCGGTGCTATGGCTACCAGCCTCGGGCTCGGCCCACCACAACAGCCTACTATGTCACAGGCTATCCCAACTACGCAGAACCGGAGCCTTACTCCAATGGAGTCTATGTTTACGACAATGAAATGGAGGGACACTATAATGTTAACCCTTCCTACCACCACACCCAAACAGCTTATCAAAGCCCCAGCGTGTATGGTCACTACGGTAATGACGAGATAGACGGTGCATCACAGAACGTGTACGCCACGATACGGCCATCCAGGCAGCGTCCAGTGCCTCGAAGCAACGAACAGATCAACAAGAACATCCAGAAGGCCCTGGTGGCTGAACACTTGAGAGGCTGGTACAAACGTAACACTGCACAAAAACAGGCTGCGTACGACTATGAGTATGACAGAGGCTCCCAGCAGAGTCTGGGCTATCCAACCACGCATGCGCCACAAGCCTACAGCAGCAGGAACCTTTCCTACTCGTCAGGTTAGATAATTTCACAATGTCCTCTGAATTATTTTTCTAACACTGGTTCTACATGTTGGTGGGTTGTTTTCTGACTTGTACCATTTTTCTGCCATGTCCTCAGTGGCCTCCAGTGGAAACTGGCACAGTCACATGACCGGCAGTGCTATGCTGGAATATGACATGCCCGTGCATGCACCGCAGTCTTTCTCTTACAGCACAGCCTCCTACGCCCACTCCTCCCACAGCAGGTAAGAGGGGAAAAACCTGGCCCTCAGCTCTTCTACTTATCCAATAAGCCACTCCCTGATCCTTCTTATCCTCAGAGTTAAGTGCTAGTGTTTAATTACCTAGAGGGGATGGCTACAGAAAACACGAGCTGCTATTTGGTGTTTTATCCCTTACACCCATCAGCAATGTGAAATAATGTGTTGCCAATTTCATCTTTTCTTTACCTTCACCTATAAATTATGAAACTGAATCCACAAACAGGCCAGTGTTTAATTTCACAGCCGTATTCATTGATGGGATTAGAGGATCTGTGCTGCCCGCAGTCAGTTCCTCCTAAGAGCTTAAAAATGGTTCTGCTCTCCCTAACTGTCCACTGGCCCCTGCTCTCTTATAGATATGGCGACTCCTGGCACAGCCCTGATGGCCAGAGGTGCTGTGCCTTTATCCCTGCTAGTTCTTCCTCCTCTGGTTATCCTTCCACTTCCTCCCTGCCCTCTTCTTCCTTTCCCTCCTCCTCCCCCTCCTCCTACTACTCCCCTGGCTGTCGGGTCAGGCAGGTGGCCTCCAGCCCTGCGCAGCCACAATCCTCCAGAGGGCACAGGCTCAGTAAGGTGTCTTTTTCTAAAGGTAGCTCATAGTAAGTAAACAGCATCGGCCAGACCCCGTGCAGTTGCTTCTTTTAGTGTGCCCGCAGTCTGACTCGTGAGTCTGCTTGTTGATGTTTTGAAGTGAACTTTGCATTTTTGAGATGTTTGACTGATCATTCAGTGTCATGTCTGATACTGTGATTGCATGGCTTCCTTAAGAAAAAATATAAAAAAATATAAAAATGCTTGTCCTACTTCCTCCTCAACTGCCACATTGTCATCCAGTGGTCACATTTCTCCGCAGTCTTCCTTTACTGTCAAGATTTTGTTTGTTTTTGTTTGTTTGTTCTTTCCCTCCACTCTTTGCCCATGCGCTTTCATTCACCACTGACCTTTGCCCCCCTCTCATGCACAGATGTCTCCCAGAGTTTGAGTGGCGAGGATGTGATAGGATGGCATGCCCCCCTGGGTATTTAGAGAGGTGTGGTGGTGCTTCCTATGCTACTGACCAGGAAAATTATCCCCTCCCCCCCAATAATCAAAGTCACAGGAGAGAAGAAAGGGTGAGAAAGTGTAAAAACTTCCCCACATGGTGATGGTGATGTGTTAATTTTTATGCATAGCAGGGACTGACAGAAAGCACCAGATCATTTGATTTCACTGACGAACTTTGGTGCCTCGTGGTGGTGGGAGAGCACTTGTGTGGCAAAGGGAAAATGTGACCCCTGAGCACTGTTGCATTGGAAGGCCATGTGTTTGTGTATAGACGGCTATTGTGTCTGTGTGCATCTGCCTTATAACTGGGTGAGAATGTTTGACCCTGGCTTTGAAATCAGCATTCACATTACAAAATCTGAAACACAGGTGATGGCTCACATTGCTGTTTTATATTGACATTTTACCTTTGTAGTTTAGACGCACAGCCCAGGGTTAATCGATTCTAACCCCGTAGTCAGTCACAGTCAGCAGTTTGCAGCCTAATGTGTTTGTTTTGTGTGTTCATTACAGATCCTATATAGATGTCAGCCAAATGGACTCCCACATCAACAGCCAAATGCACACTAACATGGACCCCGAAGAACAGCTTTACTGGCATGAAGACTCAAAACCAGGAACAATAGTTTAGCCGGATACCTTACAACTGTGCAAAAACTTCACCTTGACAATACGTCACTGTGCCTTAAACTGCACTTACCTGTTTTGTAATTTCCTTGTAAAAGGAACCCAAAGAATGAAGGAATTTAACTTCTGTGGAACTCAGCACGTTAAATGAAGTATTCTCATTTCTGGATCTCTTGAACGCAGTTGCCAAACTGATGCCCATCCCTGTATTTTAAATCACAACAAGAACCCCATTGGAGTGTCTAATCACGGGGTTGCGAGTGTTTGTAGTGATGGGACCTGTGCACTGAAACTATACCAAGCCCTGCAGTGGACTGAATGGTATAGCAAAGGGTATAGCATTACTCTTTAGAGATACTGAACCAAGGACTAAAACTGTCTCTCTAAGAGGATACTGAGCGGCAATGAACAAAGAACATGACTGATCCTGTTGTGCTACTTGCACACTCATATGAACACTGTAACCATGAAGGATTAGACACGGATTTATAAGGTCACTAATGAAGCACTGAACTCGTTAAATAGGAGTCGAGAGAAAAGGCTACTTCCGAAAACATTCTGCAGTCACCTGATCCACGTTTCTATTACAACATCTGTTACCGTTCCGGTCTCTACACTCGTTTGTCATTTACAAAGTATTCAGTTTGCTTCACTGTCAATACTTACACCATAATTGAGCCAAATGCTTATTTGTTGCACCACTTAAGTATTACCTGAGTCACCAGTTTCGAATATTACTGCCTCTGTGGGAAGACAGAAAAACCAGTTTTGTTTTGTTTTGAACATGGTTATTTCATCCATGCTGGAAATCATGGACTGGTGCTCCAAATTTCTCTCAAGAGATTAAAACTGTGTAAATGTTGGTATGTAAATACACTGGCTTAGTCTTTTTTTTATTATTTTAGAGCATTTTTATGTATTTGAAAAGCATGTAATATATAGTAAACAATTATTGTTAAGCTGGTTCTTAGTAATTTGTATAATTACAATGGTTTGGATTAAAAAAAATTGAATTTCCCAGGGCTTTTGTTTGTGGGTGATATTTATTTAAAACTGAGCCTTCGAAGCGTCTTATCCCCCTTAGTGCAGGACAACACAGGATTTAAATCCAAATCCTTTGAATTAGCTAAATGAACGTCTGCTGGGCCAATTCAGTTAATGAAATTGGGTATAAAAGTGCAATAATCACCACTTCCAGAAGGAAAATAGGTAGAAAGTGTCATTTACATTTAATGACTGCAGAACACAACACAAATGAGTTTTCCTCATATAAATGGTTTGGAAGCTGCTTATCTGGTGTTCATTCAAGGAAGCAGATTATAGTAAGAGAGATAACTCTAAAGTACTGGGGTTTTTTTTCTTTTGAGCGTCTTAAGAATGAATGAATACAGAGCTGCAATCACTCATAATGACAGTCAAGTGTGAATAAATGAGCCGGTTATAGAAACTCACTGCTCTGCAGAGTTCTGTCGCTCTGCTGTACTTTCTCACTGCCTTGCTGTGTAACCAGGCGCTTTTTTGTGTGTGCGGGTTCTTAAGCTGTAAACCGACCAAACCAGTCTTTAAAGGCTGTCACACCCACTATGGGCTATAAAACCTCTCCTTGTGTCTTCTGTGTGAATGACAAGCTAGTGTTTATAGCATCAAACCCTCCCTGCAGGCATTCATGTTATGAGAAGTCTGTTTTACACATGTTATCCGAGCCCTCCTCCCTTCACATTGTACTATAACCTTTCACAACCATTCCCCTTCCTTTCCTTCCTGTGCTGCTGCACATTTTCTATCGATGTATCCTGCCTCGGGTCCCCTCTTTAAGACGGCCAGAGTTGAGCAGCTTTCCTTGCTCAGAGTGCCTCTCAGTTTTATGCTTCTTGAGCAAGCTCAAGGGAGGTCTTGGACAATTCCAGCTCCTCGGGCAGCGAAAGAGGGGGAGAGCTCTTCATCAGCTGTCTCCCTGTCTCGGCCGCGCCACACCAGCTGTAGTTACACATCATGGGAGGCTGTTCCAGCTGACACTTTACTACATAAACAATAGATTTCTATTGACTTTCTCTTTATCTAAAACGCAACACACAAAACTCTTGTAATGCAGAGTGGATTAAGGCTGTACATGGACTCCAATACCTGTGTGACTAATGGAAACGTCAGTTACGCAAAGTATTGAAACCTGTCAAGTACTGGAAGTACTGGCATCAAATATCTGCATTACAAGTTCATTGACTGAATGGTTTCTGATTTAAACCTGCACTAAACGGTGTTGAATAGTGTATTCGATTACCATGAGAACCATAGATTGTACATAAATGATCGACACAGCTCCTGGATCCTGAAGTGCCTTAAACCTGCATTCTGCATAGAGGCTTATGGGGAAAAACAACCCTTGGGGCAAACTAGGGAAGAGAGTGGTTGGAGACTGCAGCACAACCCAAATTATCATGAATGTGTGTAATGAACTCCTCACTTCGTGTCCTTGATGGGGTCGCTTCGTAGACAGGGACCATGTCTACGACCACTTGCTGTCAGTTGGCTTCTTCAAAAAGACTTTGGTGCCTTGATGTGGTGATAAAATGATAAGATGGAGTCAGTCTGCTATCAGTTTGCAACTGAATGAGGTCAAGTGGCAGTTACAAGCAATGTGTGAAAATACTGAAATGAACTATAATAAACTGCAAATGTGTTACAATCAACAATGGGAACAGAAGTTTCAAACAGCTCCAGAAGGACAGTGATCCAAGTGGAAAATGACCCGCCTGCTGGGCAGCCTTACTTTATATAGGTCATATAACCAGTATAACGGTCATATTTTGTGTATGACAACTCATGAGTGGGTACTGTCCGTTGATTTTCTGTCAGGTCCCCCCCCCTCGTTCAGCAAGTCTGTTTCCAAAATGACAATAGCAATGGCGGAAACACACGCACGACGCCTGACAACTGGACTTAAATAAACAATGGGTGGCGTCATGGTGGCGTGGTGTCCATCTTTTGTATAAATTTTCTTTTGTGTAAATAAGTTCATGCAAAAGAAAAACTCACCAAATCCCCTAAGCTCCATGGCTGTCCGTTTTAGGACCTTTCAGCTTCTTGTTTCCGCATTACAGCCCCGCAGCTAATATGTTTTAGTTCAGTTTCACTTTTTTCATTAATCCTTGATTTTCGTCAGTGCAGGCAGTTATATGATAAAGACTGTAATAGACCAGCTGTACACTGAGTGATTATTAAATATAGAATGTACAATGTTCCCAATGGTAGCACACACAGGAAGTGTCACGCATGAAACACTAAACTGAGCAGCCACAGGGCTCAGCCAAACTGAGATTAAAATGGCTTGAAATCATGCTGTGCTTACTCCCCGAATCCTGTGACTTCCCCAGGATTCAGGGAGTAATGACTCTGACAAGCTATGAAAGGTGAACGACTGGATTAGCTGACCAGGTCACATGCTCTCACAGCTCATTCCTCTCTCTTCCTTCAAAAGGAGGCAACAACAACAAACAAAAAAAAAAGCCCATGGACAAACCGGAAGGTGGAACAACTCACATGAGGATACAGCAGACAGCACAGGTCATGGTGGGTCATCATTAATGGGTCACATGATCGGCTGTGGTGTAGGTCTAAGCAGCCGAGATCTGCTGAATGACAGGCTGTTTGAGTTATGAGGCTAGCTAACCAGCTTAGCTAGCCACAAGCCAAAGCCTCTCAGGGAAGAGGAGGGGGGTGGGGACGCAGGGGTCAAGTGGAAGGCAGCACAGCAAGTACGCGTAACCATGCAAAAGCAAGCACTGTGTACTGTACATTGCTCAGTGTCCCGTGCAAGAAGCGCACAGCAGGTGAAAGCAGCTGATTTTTGCCCAGAAATGCACAGAAACAAGATTTTGGTATTGTAGAGTGTAAAAGAGGCCTCACTCCTGGAGAGACTGTGAAGAAGAAAAGACCAAACACACACACACACACACACACACACACACACCTCTGTTGGGTGTGCAGCAGCACACGTGCCGATACGATCTTCGCAGCAGCTGCATCAGCAGCTAGAACAAGGGCTTCCACTGTGCCCTCTGAGACATGACTTTACTTGACTAGACTGCCACCGGTGCTTATACTCACTCGTCCAAGTTTCACAATATGGATGCTGATGAAGCACCGCAGGACATAAATCAGTGCTGAAGTACAAAAAGGAGGGGAAACCCAGCAGCTGAGTCTAACTGAGCAATGCGAAGAGATCATCATCTACAGCAAACTTAGAAAGCAAAGGGTTAACATGGACCATCCTCTCGTTTTCCCCTCGCTGCCGCTTCAAACCGAATAACAGAGCATTAGGTTCTGGATGGATTCTTGTTATCTGCAATCAATTTTAAATGGAATCCAATAAAAGAGAAGCTGACACAGCGACTAAATCGGGTTTGGAGGTGAGTGAGTGCAGATGAATCCACTGTCAGCTCTCTGCACTATAATCTACTGCAAGCCCACTGATTAGCATTTGGGGTAAGTGGAGAGGAAAGTAAAGTTAACCAATCCATCACTGTCAAGATGAAGCACTCAAAGATTCAGAGGGAACACTGATGGTCACGGGTCACCTTTGAAGTCTTTATTTTACAATATTGACAAAGCAGTTTGACTTGAGACACAGCAGTCCTCTCTCTTTTGTCTACTTTTTATTTGGATGAGCATCGGGTGGGCTGGTGGACTGAAGCTGGTGTTACATTTTACGTGAGCAGATTATTCAATCCAGCCTCCGAGCTTCTTGGCAGTACAGCTAAACTGAACGTGCACTCTTCATTCTTTGTTAAAAGGCAACACTCGTGCTGCTTTCGCAATTTTAGCTGAGCACAAACAGACAGGGCTGACGGCTGTTTCTGAGAATGATTGAACACAGATTTCGTACCCAGGGTTAAGTCTGCAGCTGGTTTTACAGGAACACTTGCACACTGCATAGCAGAGATGTGAGGCTGCACTCACACGCCCTCATCACTGTTCGGAGAAAGAAAAAAAAAAAAAAAAAGTACCCTGACGAGTTCTGGGTAGAGTGACAGAAGCCCTGAGGTAAAGATAAAGCCCTTTAGATAACAATCTTTCATTTTAAATCACAAGCTGTGCATGAAACTTCAAGGGGTTTAGACTGAGAGAGACAAACGTATGAAATCTAAGCAAAATTTAAAATAAAAAAAAAGTCTGAATCTTTGGCACACAGATGTGCATTTGGTTCTTCTCAAATCCAGTCACTCTTTAACTTTTATTTCAGAAAGTTGTTTATCTTTTGAATGGTTTCCTCCTGCTGACCCAGAGAATCCAGCAGAATGCCCATAAACGTCTTCTTCAGTCCAAATCCATCCATCTTGTTCTCCAGCTTATTCTGCATATTGCGTTTGCGACACGAAGCATGTGCAAATATTACTGAAAAACAAACCCGTAGAAAAATGTCAGCTGTAATATCACACTTTGAGGATCTGGAAAATGTGTTTCATTGATTTCGAAACATTTCATGATGTCACAAATGCAGTGATCATTATGCTCTGAAGAATTATTAGACATTCAATCACCCAGTCCCCTCTGAAAGCCAAACTTACAAGTCAGGGGTAAAGTGATGGCCCACATGAATACCAAGATGCTCCCCAGCATGGAAATCAATATGCAGCTGGTAACCATGATCAAAATGATGAACGCTGAAGGTTTCTGCTTCTTAAAGTTGTTGATCGCAGCTCCGTTCTCCCCCACCCACACCGACACCACGAACACGACCGACACCACAACTATGGCTATGAGCGTCTCCAGAGGTTTCAGGATCCTGCAAGGCAGCAGCATAGAACATATGAGGGCAAGTTTAAATAGCTTTGGCATACTGCTGAACTTGACGCCATGGTAACGACGCACAACCCTTGTGTGCAATATTCGTCTGCCCAACTCCAGGTCCTACCCCTCGGGTTATACCTCCTTATGTGCATTTTATAATATGTAAAATAACTTGTGTAAAGTGCGCTTTTCTACTGCTCAGCTTCACACGATTATGACACTCAGGTATACACA